CAAAATCAAACTCATCAATTATAAGAACTCTAGGAAAAATGATATTTTGTTTGAAATATATAAGATCCAAACTTACATGTTCATCACCCAATAAGAAATGGATAGACTCTTCTCCGTCAATCGTAATTGTTTTCCATTTTCTGTGAACTTTGACACGTATTTTCCAATTCGATTACCATGGATGCAGATCTATGATTTTATCATACTCAGACATTGCTTGAATTGTGGAAAATTAAGTAGTATAATGGGTAGTTTTTTTCTAGAACATGATAGAACTGCTATGGGTTGAGGCCGTATATATATGGGGAGATATTGTAGGTTAACGTGATACATAACTATATATCAGTTGATATCTCTTTATTCGATATTGTAGGCCGTATCTCGAGTATCAAAATTACTTTCTTTTTGACAGGTACATTTGATTGCATTTTCTCAAAAACGGAAAAGATGTGATACGACAACACACTATCCAAATTTCATTTCTCGGTAAGTTTCCCCATTAAAAACTTTTCAGTCCGCACAGTAAAAACTTTTTCATGATTATATTTTGAAAGTAACAATACTTTTTCATTTACTGGTTTATTTTGATAGTAAAAGAACACTTTACTATGCGGATTGTAAATACCAAGGTGAAGAATAAACATATCTGGAAAAAATATGTAACAACAGAGGCAATTAGGTATGTAACGTATATTCTCTCTAATTTTTTGATCTAGTTTTATTGATAATCAAAAAGCAAATTTAGAACATTGTACAGAATTAAAATATTAAATAGATTAGATGAGAAATCTCTCCTTAACTCTGTTATAAATTTTGGTAAGATGATTTTAATAAGTAATTCAAATTTGTATGATTGTTGTAGGGTACAATTAAATCATCGAGATCCTATGTTTAGTGCTGGCAACGATGGTACCCTCAGACTGCGGATTTGTAGGTAAGCCACTTTCCATAACTCTGTTATAGATTTTGCCACAAAATAGTTTGTTTCGTAATGATTAAAAACTTATATTACACAACCACTAACAAAAGTAGCAATAGAAAAAACAAGCATGAATATGAATAAAATGTAGTACTTATCCCCGAAAATATTAAATTGTTCAACATATTGAAATGCATAAGGGAGACCAAAAGAGAATATCTTTTAAAATAAAGTTTCTTAATGACAGGAATTGGTAAAACCCTGAAAATAGGCTATTTAAAATCTTCATCATTGCCATTTCTGAAATAATGAAAAACAACATGTGTAAATGGTCGTAACAATCAAATATGGCAAAATGTAAAAAACTCGGACAACGTTTAAACTACTTACAATGCACGCTTAAACCTTCTAGCCTCAGAAATGTCTGCATCGTATAAAACTCTTAATACTTCTCCCGCATCAATCAGACGAACATTTTCTATATAAAAAGAATAACATATAACTCGCTAAAAGTGTACAATTTAAAATTTTTTAATTAATTTGAATAATTATGCTTTTCAACATACCTCCAACATTGACCACACGAAAATCACTTAGGATTACTACCATATTGTTCGAACTGAAATTCCACCATTTTTTAGTGATTTCAAGGGCAAGTTTTTCATGAACAACGCAAGTTAAGTTTGTCCCTCTGATAAAAATTTAATTATTAAGAAAGACAAAACACATATAATAGTGAGAGACAGTTTGAACATATGTGAACTATAAATCCAGATCATTCATGATTATCAATTGTATATATGAAATTAAAACGTACTGTGTGTTCTGAATAGCAAATTCGAGACGGCAAGTGTTGGCAGGACACATAGGGCCAAAGTCCGAATCTTTTACTTTGACAATATCTGTAAGCATAGATATCCTACCCAACACATCTGACAAAATAGACGAAAAATAATAATATGTTAACTAATAATTATGTTAACAAAGCTTAACTTATAAACAAACTAAAAATACTTACGAACATGTAGGACACGGTTGAATCTTCCAGCAAGAACATCATCAAAACTTGTAAATTTCATATAATGCTCATCGGTTACATCATACTCTTTCCTCACATCAGTGTTGTCGAGTAGACGAATTTTCTACATGCAATCGACCAAACGATTAACTGCATCACTTTCGAAGACAGTAAAATGATGCAACTTAAACCATTTACCAACAATTAGTTTTGTTCTGTAATATGGCTGGTTCTGAAGATCATCACATATAGCATGAATTTTATCACCCTACAAAATTTTAATAAACTATACATTAGACAAACATACTACTAAAAGAACAGTACGATATAGAATATGATGGAGTAAAACATACCTCTATATCGACAAAGATGAAGTTTAACACTTTGCTTTCTCCTTTAGATTGGGATTTCCAAGACTTAAAAACCATGATATGAATGTACCAGTTAGATCTCCACTGGTTTAAATTCCTGATATTGTGAAAAATACCATTCATAGTTAACTGAAAAAAAAACTAACGGTTTCAAAGACATAGAGAACAATGAGAGGTTTCGGGTGATAAAAGCACATAAGGTCTTCCCTCATATATATAGCAAAACAACGATTAGGGTTTTCGATAATATCGAAAAGATGCATCTTAAATTCAAATTTAAAATTATCAATAACCTAAAAGACATCAATTGAAAAGACGCAATTGATGCCTATACGTATAATATCTAAATATTGGATAACCATATATGTATCTATTAATGAATCTCGGTTAACAAAATTCCATTTTTTACAGGTACATTTAATTGCATTGGTTAAAAATCAGGAAAAATATGATACGAAAATAACACACTGTCCAAGTTTCATTTCTCGGTAAGTTTTCTTATTCATATATGTAACGACAAAGCTAATTAGGTATGTGATGTATATCCTAGTTATTTCATCTAGTGTTATTGATAATCACAACACGCCAATTTAGAACAGTGTAGAGAATTAAAAACTATTATATGAATTAGATAACATAGTTATATAAAAAAGCAATTAAAAGATAGTGAATAAGCAAGACAAAAAAATACTTGAATCACTTAAGATAATGTTGAAGTGGTGTGTTTTATGACAAAGCGCACGCAGTGAAATACTCCGAGAAATGGTAACAAAATAACAAAAAAGTTCAGAAAAATTTTTAATTCAATATTAGCCACTTTTGCTTTCATTTCCAAACTTCTCAATTTTGACCTGAAGTTTGCATTGCTTCTTACTTGCTGAATGTTGGTCTTCGAGAACTTCAATTATAGGCTCAACTTTTCTCTTCGAAGTAAGGGTAACTTGGTTTGGAATTTCATCATCGACAATTGGCTCTGTATTGGTAAGAGTCAACATACCTTGTTTGCAAAAAAACAATAGACTAAGGTTAATGAAGTGCCCATTAAAGCCAGTAAAATTTGTATCCTAAAATAATAATAAAAGTATACCTCATCACCAGAAACCAGTTCTGAAATATTCACTGGCTTTTCTGAATCATCAACAGTTAAATCTTCAACAATACCATTATCACTCACAATCTTGGAAACCTTGAAAGTATTGTGACCACCACCGAGATTCTCTTTATCAACAGCAAGAACAAACTGAAAAGTTTTTCCGACTAAGTTCTTTAATGTTTCTGGGATTTCTTCAGGATCTTCAATCTAAGCAATTAGACAATAATATATAACACACATAAATAAACAACTAAATTATTCATCCAATTGACATTTTAAAATCTAACTTGCCAATTTAGCATAGAATAAAACCTAAACTTAACTGAAAAAGTTTCAATGCAATCAAAGCTCTAACAATTAAATTACATGCTAAATTTAAAGATAATATAATTTAGATACCTCATCGAATGATCCGTTGAGCAATTCTGATGCTTGGCATTTTAACATCTCACTTGCCGATGTATCGAATAGCAATATAGTAATCTCACTTGTTGTATCCATAACCTTCAGATGCAGCTTGAACCTGACACAAGAAAACAATGAAATCGTGACTATTATTATAGAGTTATGGTGTGTTCAAATCATAAGTTAGGTCACTTACTTGGGCACAACATTGGTGACAGTCTTATTGCATTCATTACAATGCCACCTAGGTATCCCTCCGAGAACTACGACACCATTAGTTCCTGCGACGATCTTTCTAACCTTCTTATGATTTTTGATTTTGCACCCAAAATAATACCATCCCCATTCAGTGTCAATGGCGTAAACTGTGCAAATGATCCTTACTTTGCCGACCTATAAAATTGAAAGAAACATTCAAGGAACACTATAGTGAAGTACATTTGATCTTCATTGTCAAATACATACCTCGGTTAATTCTTTTAGTTCAGCAACAGTGACCATTGGAAACTGGTTCCAGTAATCATACGTCTTTGCCAGTATTTCCTTTTTAGGTTTGGTTTCCAACAGAGTAAGAGCCAAGCCATCATCTGGTAAGCTGCAATCAAAATATGAATGTCATGAAATCATAGGAAGTATTAATAGACAAATTCAATTGTACATTATCTCAAATACTTTCAAAAATATAGGACTCACGCATCCAAAAACTGGTCAATATGTGCTCCAGACGGGTTTATAATGACTAAACTGGCATCAAAAGCGTTGGAAACACTTTTTATTTCTGAAGGTAATAGACAAAATAGAAGTAAGGAATACAGATTTGAAAATATTGAAGCTTCTAACTGGATAATGTAGAAAGTGTACCAAAGTAACAGTAACTCAAAGTAAATCATCAATATAACTCAGATTTTGCAATGCATAACATTAACAGAACATATATTGACTTTAAAAGAAATAGATTACTTATACTTACTGCTCATCCCTCAGTTAGAAATCAATTTTCTTTGCGTCCTTGTTATTGACATGCATCGTAGACAGTTGCCCCACATTCACTATCTGGCCGAGAACATCTAATAAAATTGAACATATTAGGTTAGAAATATATAGTGTAAATCAGACTAATACAATTCTGTGATTAATATTTTTACCACACAAAATGCTCTGATTATGTATTCCTTCATGAATATCACTGAACCGGACCAAGTCCAAGAAGTCAGAGTTTGACACGGTTACAGAATTAGACACAATTGTGTCTTTGACAAAACTAATCCGGTAACAATGTTTGGTAGTCCTGTATTGTCCAATTGAATTGCTAACGTTGAACTCTTCAATTAATTTCCAGCTTCCTACGGATAGATGGTTCTCGTATCTCTTCAAGTGTTGTTTCTTAATAAAACAATGAATTCTCGTACCCTGTGAAAAATTATAAAATGTTTTAGCTAACATCATAAGGACGTTAAGTTTCTTATAGTAAGATAAATTACCTCTTTGTCGACTAAAACCATTTCAATAGATTCTCCTGAGGCGAAAGCAAACTGCTTCTAAATGTGCAGGATTTTGACTTGAATTCTCCAACTGGATTTGAAGGGCTTAATATTTTGAACAGAAGTTATTGGAACTTTAGAAGCCATTTTCAAAGATTTGCGTAAAAAGGTATGGCGACTTCTCTAAATGTTTCTTCTATTTATATGTAATCAATTAGGTTTTAGTAGTATCTTTTTGAAAGAATATAGTCGCCAATATTTAGAGACCTTCATTATTATAGCAAGATCTTTCAAATCTGTCATGACTATAGGTAAACAGATTAGTTAAAAATATATATTGTTACATATATGAGATTGATTAGATTGTCATATGAAGGAATATGTAGATTGATTAGAATATTCTGATAATTTATGATATAGTTCGGTTTGTTTTGTTAAGAATATTTAGTTAGGATCTGAGTTAAATGTTAGATTGTAAATGGTAATTTAGGATACCGTTTAGATGAGTGAACGAAAATAAATATAGCAGTTGCCATATATTTAGATATTGATCCTAACTTGTTTTGAATTCCAATTCTATTAATCTAACCGGTTGTTTAACAGTTATTACAGACCACAAAAACCGGTTTAAATCAAGTTGAAGAGGATCCATGTCTTTGTTAACGAGTCTACGGGTCGAATATTTTTGTTTGGACATGATCGAATCATGTCAACTGAGTTAACTCAGTTAACTCGCCGGTTTTACCCTTAAATAAATATGTAGCCAAACATAATTTACTCAGTAAGGTAATAATATTTTTCATAAATACATTATTTTTTTCGAATATTTCAAAAATCAACCTCTCAAATAATATTATAGAGATAGGGGATATGTGAAAAAAATAACTGTTTCTCCAAGGTCTTAATCTCATAAGATGCTAGTATAATAATAAATAAACTGCAAGTGTAAGAGATTCGTTTAATTATTGGGATAAACATGTATTTCTCTGTGTTCAGTTTTCTTTTGGGAAGTGGAGGAATAACAATTATAATTGTATACTGCTTAACTATAGTTTTTTCTTTGATCATATTTTGTTTTATTTTGTCGATTGAACATATGAAATATATATAAAAATTACTTTCTTATTGGTGTTCATTAATTAGTTTTAGGAAAACGTTAAGATACATCATTCCAGGATATTAGATAGCTGAGGCGATTAATTCGAACATTTTAAGCTAATACATCAGGTGTGTTAAACTTGAGGAGATATTGTTTTTATATATCAGTTTATTTTAGTGTGTTACTAAGTTACCGATAGACTGTAAGCAGTAGGCTAAATAGTTTTTTTTTTTTTTTGGTGACCACCAAAACTAAAATCAACAGGATTGCTCACCCCCTTTGTATTGTCCTCGTTCAAATAGTTTCCTTTTTTTTGTCTCTTTCTATTTAAATAATATATCTCAACTCTTTTCATACGTGCAGTTGTTTTGGGTGAAAAAGTTATTTTTGCCTAAGGCTCTTGGTCCAGTGGTGTCAAATCTATGGTGGTTGCATGACAAGGCGGTTAATAATCTGACCTTCGAGACTTCCACCACTAAGGTTTAAATTGGGACAAAACAAAACAATTTAAGGTTGTGACTAAAGAGTGAGTGACCTCCATTAACGAATTTAACATGACAACAGCCACAGTAGTGTAGGAAGGACAAGATATTTTACGTAAAAGAAACAAAAAGCACAAGTTTTTTCCCATTTTAACCAAAAATACAGCATGAAGATCAAATATCATTTAGCCTTACGTATCGCACGTGATACACATTCGCACGCGAAGATCGAGTAAACGTTTTTTTTTCCTGTAAATACCTTAAGTTTTTTTTTTTTTTAAACATTAAATAAATACCTTAAGTTGGTAGTTACCGCTTGATTTGGTTTGCTTTCTGGTTCGATTCAGTTAGGTTTTAGTTTCAAAAAAAAATAAACTTAAAATACCATAAAAATCTAATCCTTACTATATGATTTATATCTATTAAAATTTAAAACGTATATATGTATGGTTACAGATATAAGATTTTTTTTTTCAATTGTTTGTTTGGTTTTGTTTTGTTCAGTTCCGGTTTTTAACGTTAATAAACTGCTTAACCAATTATAGAATTTTTTTATAGTCGATTCCCCGAATATCTTTTCAGATCATCATAACTTAAGTGTTTATGAGTGACACTATCTAGTTCTCATCCTATTGTCTAAATAAATTTGCGACATTTCAACAGGACAGGCCCTGAAATTTTGGGAGCTTGAGCCAAATTAAATAATATAGCCAAATAAAAAATTATTTTTTAAAATTTTATTATTTTAATAAATAAAAGTAAGTTTCATATAAAAAAAATCATAAACATTAATAAAAAACTACTAAAAATTTTTATGGGCCAGCAAAAATCAAACAAATTATTGTATATATACTATAAAAAAATTTTATTTTTGGGCTAGTAAAAAATAGGGACCAAAACAAAAGCCTCATTTGACTTAGCCCAGGGCCGGTCCTGCTATTCAACAAAACACGATTATAGTAATATTATTGAAGTAGCCGCATTTTTTGTCGTCAAAAAACGGTTTCTGTTATTAATAAATTCTAAAAAGACATGAAATATCAAAAAGTCTAGATGTAGGATCAAAGAACGCAACACTTCCAAACATATGAACTGTAAATCTGTAGGATGTATTTTTCCAAGCATCTACTTGACACGCTAGCTAAGGAGAGTCAATGATTTTGTACTTCATGATTGTCTGACACAAAATTAGGAATCACTCCATAATCTTAAAATAAATATGATCAAGAACTAAGACGCAAAAGGAGGTGAAGATAAAAATGGTGATGAAAGTTGAAGATGCAGCTGAGATGTGAGTTTGACATGAATCTGACAAGATGCTTATCAGAAGAAGTGGTGGAACTTGGAAAGCAGCAGCGAACGGATAGGAGTTGATGTGGCTAGAATGATTAAAGAGGATTCTTCGTATATTGGCATAGATACAGAGATGTGATTAAGGAAAGCATGAACATGACGAATAAGACTGAAGATATGCGAGTTTGGGTTTAGATGCTTGGAGTATATAAGAGGCAAGGGTAGAAAGAGTTAGGGTTAACACTTTTATACACAAATAGATCTGATACTAAAAAGCTTCAACTAGATTATGAGAGCTGAGAGGTGAGTGCCTTAAAAAACTAGATTTGTTTTTGTAAGATCTAGTTGTTTATCAGTTAAAAACTTAGAATTGTTTGGGGTCAATCTAGGAGTCTAGAGTTGTATAACACCAAAAAATTGTATTCTTGTAAGTTTAATTTTTGTCAGATTCAAGTTTTATAAAAGCATTCGTCTTGATGCTGTCCAAGACATAGAACCGATTGTTGCTTAGGTTTTTACACTAACAATTGGTATCAAAGTAGACATCTTCTAGAGATTGTTTGTTCTTTAAATATCAGGTGTGATCTGGAAAGAGTATGGAAAGCATGCAACAGTTTGGATCAATGAAAATGCTGTTGCTTGAGAAAGAGAACTTTGGATGGTGGAAGGTTCAGATCAAGGCACTCATCAAGGAAATAGATGAAGATGCTTGGACCATGGTGGAAGAAGGGTGGACTTCACCTTCTGTCATTGACACAAAGTAGATTGTGCATCCTAAGCCTAAAAGAGAAAAGACAGTTGAAGAAAAAACTATGTCAAAGTTCAGCTCCAAGGCGTTATCCATGACTTGGACATCACTTACTAAAGACGAGTTCCAAATGGTTTAAGGGTGTGCCACTGCAAAGAAGGCTTGGGAGGCTTTGCAAACGTCTTATGAAGGAACAATCAGTGTGAAGAGAAGCCGAATTGATATACTAGGAAGTCAGTTTGAGGTGCTTACCATGGGAGCAGATGAGTCTATTGAATCCTTCATTGGAAAGCTGAAGCGATTGCCAATGAAGCTATCATCTTGGGGAAAAAAACTATAAAGATAAGAAGCTGGTGAAAAATATTCCTTAGGTGTCATCGTTCAGCCCTCGAAGTATTTCAGAACTCTGACAACATAAAGTTTGATAATGTCGTGGGCATGATGTAGATATATGAATTGGGTAGGAACACCAAAATGTCAGCTATAGGGAAAAGAATTACTTTTGCTGCAAGTACTGTGGATCAACCAGAAGGATTGGAAGACAAAGTGGCTCTGATTTTGAAAAAGTACTTTAAAAATTTTGAGAAAGGTTAGAAGAAGTTCACGACTTCAACAAAGCTGCCGGTGAACTGAAGTATGATAAGACTTCTGATATCCAGTGCCATAAGTGTGAGTGTTTTGGTCACATCAAGGCTGAATGTCCAGTGCCATGACTATCGAGAAGAGAGAATCTCTCTGATGCACTAAATGCATAGGAATTGGAGACACTGTCCGACTATGTTGGAACCGGCAAAAAAAGATACTACTTATATTCGGCTCTGAATCGGATGACGATAGTGAAGAAGATGGGATAAACTTACAAAATTTTATTGCATATCTAGGGGTCATCGATGAAGGAGCACACTCTAAAGCGGAATTAGAACAGGAAGAAGATGATGCAAGTGTCATGTATGGCGAAAAAATAACCTCCTGGTTGAAACTCATTAAAAATCAATAAGAAAAAGATACTTTGATGAAGGCGAATGAGAAGCTGATCAAAGAGTGTGAAGAAATTAGATCAGTTATAAAATATGAGAAGGAAGAAAACAGACTACTATGGTAATGGTTGACAAACTTCAGTAAGCTCTAAAAAATCCAAAGATCTAGAGGGGCGTTTAGAGGGAAACTGAAGAATATAAAGATGCTGAGCAAAAGTACGGAAGGTCCTGACAAAATACTAGCCATGGAAAAAAAATCTTGAAAGGCAGTTGGTGTTTGGGGTTTTTAACTTGGTGAGACATCTGGTAGTCAGACTCGATTTGTCAAAGGAGTTCAGCAAACACAATAAGAATCTTCTTAGTTTGTTCAAGCATGTCTTAAATGCTTCAAATAATTAGATTTACACCTCTTTTCATGTACTTTTCTCGCACGTTTATTGGAGCTGTTTCTCCTTCAGTGCCAACCAAGCTAAGAGGTAAGCCTTGTACATGTGTCATTAAATACAACAATCAAAGTTTCCTGTATTTGTCTCGCACGTTTGTTGTACACTCTGTAGGCTGTACTCGTGCTTACAATGTGCTTCTTCCTTCCGACTACTTCATTTTGCTGAGGGGTTCATGGTGCTGAGTATTGATGCACTATCCTCTGATCTGCATAGAATCTGTCGAAAACCTCATTCTAAAACTCTCCTCAATGATCACTTCTAATACATTTGATTCTGGTTTTCTTCTCATTCATCAACTGAAGTTCTTGAATCTTGAAGCTGTTAACAGTTTCTGATTTCTCCCTGAGAAATCTCACCTAAGTGTATCTGGTGAATTCATCTACCAGAACATACATATATTTTATTCCAGCAATACTCTCTACCTGAACTGGTCTCATCAAGTCCATGTGAATCAAGTCCAACGCTTGCTTACATTGAATCTCTTAAATTTTTTTGTGTTGCATCTTGACTTGCTTTCCCTTGGCACGCGGTCCACACACAAAATCTGATTTCAGTTTCAGCTTTGGCATTCCATGCATGACCTCTTACTCTCCCAACTTGATCATAGTTCGAACATTCATAAGACCAAACTTTTGATGCCATAGCTGAAGATCACATGGCTTGGTTGTAGCATGCAGACTTTTGAGGACTTCCATATGTAGCAGTTATTTCCAGACTGAACACTATACATCCGTATCACTCCTTGTTCATCAAATGCACTGCAACTTGTTCTAGTGAACATCACATACAGACCTTCATCACAGAGTTGACTGACAGTAATCAGGTTAGCTTTCAACCCTTCTACAAATTAGACATTGACAAGATCAAGTTTGTTTGGTTCTGATATCTGTCCTTTTCCTCTGACTTCCCACAGGCTCCTCCTTCAAAAGTTACTTTGTCGACTGACACTTTTTAAAATCCTTCATATGATCCCCAGTTCCAGTCATGTGCTTGGAACATTCACTGTCAATAAACCACGCTTGATCCATGGATGAACTCTGATCAGCTGTGTAAGCTACATATCTATACAGATTCTTTTTGTTCACCCACACTTGTTTGGTTCTATCTATATCACGACGATGGTGTTCATGTCTAATCATTTTGTTTCTAGACTCAAGAAATATGTAAGAGAAAACATTGATCTGACTAGGCTTCCCACATTAATATAACTCTGACATGTTATACACCTTATGCCTTATTATGTTGTATGATTGATAACAAGAAACGAAATGAGGCATTTTCTTCCTGCTGATTACCGGTGTTCTTCTTGTAAACCTGGTCTGTCCATTAGTTGCCCTTCCTTGGATGCCTACTCCAAATGTATTTCTTCCATTGTGGTTTTCTGTTCACTTCTCTGTTGGAAAACGGTTCTGTGTTTATGGTACTTTTGCTGTATCTTTCATCACAGCTATTGGTGCCGTAATGTTGTTACGTGATTACATACTGGTGCAACGTGTCTTAAAACTGAATTTCAATGATATATTTAGAGTTTTACATTTAAGACACGTGACTAAATGATGTCATTCTAGTAATTAAGATCACTAGACATTCAAAAAGAATTATCTTTTCTCAACTTAATTATGCTAAAGCCATACTCGATAGATTTAAGATCTAGTCGAGTGATCAGAAGTATTTAAACAATTGTATTTTACTCAATCTTGCAGACTTGTACATGTACTAAGTTGTCAAATAAGTAGTTTATGTTGTATATACTGAAAATGTATCACTAAAGTATTAAGTTAAGTACAATATACTAAAAGTTATGTAATGCACAATGGTAAAGAACAAATAGTTTTGGAATGATACAATTATATTAAATGGTGATCTGATTCTAGAACTAAAAGTCCATGAGTGAATTTGTTTTTACGCTTGGCAGTGAAACAACATCATTGAAATCTGCCAAATTAATATTGTGAAAGAAATTAATTATAGAACCAAAGTTCATAACTTTCGATAAAATAATGAAGCAACTGGTTTCTGAACTTCGTGGAAGAAAATCTGATATAGGAACACTAGTTCGAGCATATGTATACACCATGATAGTTAATTAACTATGGCTCGTCACTAGTTTTAATGGTTAGTCATGTCTTTAAAGAAGACGATATAAAACTAAAAAGCAATTGATCTCAAATGGAGCTATCTCAATAGATTATGGCCCTGTTCGTTTCTTGATTTAGATTCAGCATCTAGGTACAATTTTCAGATGCAACATTTAGATATTGTTCATTTTTAAAATTAGGTTTTGTGTTTGGATACAATATTTGAATGCAATATTGTTTGTTTATAGATTTGTAAAAAAATTCTGAATGCAAAATATCTCAAATGACCAAAAGGGTATATTTTCAATTTATTAATTTTATCTACATTAAAAATAATTTATTTATGATAATACTAATTAATAGTTTTTCAAAAAATAAAGTTTGACAAAATATACAATTTTGGTGGAAAAACATAATTTTGCAAAGTTAACAAAAAAAAAGAGTTTTACGGTTTTGGCGAAAAAATACCAGTTTATAGTTTTAGCGCGAAAACTCGGTTCTGCGGTTTTGACTGAAAAACACAGTTTTTTGGCAGAAAAACTTGATTTCCCGGTCTTGACAGAAAACATGATTTTGGCAGAAAACCTTAATTTTACGGTTTTAATGGAAAAAAACTCGATTTTGCTATTTTGGAGGCAAACCCCAGTTTTCTGGTTTTCGCGGGAATACTTGATTTTTTTTTTTTGACGGGAAAACCCGGTTTTACTGTTTTGGTGGGAAAACTCAATTTTGTTTTGACGGAAAAATTGATTTTGCCATTTTGGCGGAAAAACTTGATTGTCCAGTTTTGGTGGAAAACTGGATTTTTTTTGTTTTGGCGAGAAAATTTGATTTTACGGTTTAGCGAAAAAAAAAAGATTTTACGGTTTTGGTGGAAAACACGTTTTTTTTGTTTTGGTGGAAAAACCCGATTTTCTGGTTTTGGCGGGAAAAACTTGATTTTACGATTTTGGCGGGAAATCTTGACTTTCCGGTTTTGACAGAAAAACTTGAGTTTTGGTTTTAGTGGGAAAACACAATTTTACATTTTTGGCGGAAAATCACGATTTTACGATTTTGATAGAAAAACTGAAATTTTCGATTTTGGCGGGAAAACACGATTTTACGGTTTGGGCAGAAAACCCGATTTTCTTGTTTTGGCGGAAAACCTGATTTTGTGGTTTTGACGGGAAAACTCGATTTTACAGTTTTGGTAGGGAAACTCAATTTTCCGATTTGGACAGAAAAACTTGATTTTTGGTTTAAGCGGGAAAACTTCATTTTGCGGTTTTAGTGGGAAAACACGGTTTTTCTGTTTTGGCGGAAAATTTTATTTTTACGATTTTCTTGGGAAAGCTCAATTTTTTGGGTTTTTGCGGGAAAACACAATTTTAAGGATTTGGCGGAAAAACACGATTTTCCACTTTTGGCGAGAAAACTTTAATTTGCGGTTTTGGTGGAAAAAACACAACTTTTGCGTTTTACGGTTAAAAATTTAATTTTGCGGTTTTGGCGCAAAAATGCGATTTTTACGAAAAATTAAATTTACGATTTTTATGGAAATCATGATTTTATTCTTTTTATTTTACAATTTTGGCAAAAAGGTAATAAATATAAGTCTAGTTGTATTATTTCTATCATATTAAAGAATATTTTGGTCTTTTGGTTTTGAGATGCAAATGCTGCTCACATGGAGGATTGTTGGAACTCAATTTTAAGGCATGATGCGTCGGTACATTTTCGAGCAACTCCCGACATATTTCCGAGAAAATATATCGGATTATGAATGTACTCATATATCAAAATTGGAGTGTGTTTGAATGAGAAAATATTTGTCTAATGTTTGTTGCTTGGAATGAACAAAATGGACTAACTAACATATTATGGAGAAGTCCGAACAAGGTGAAATCCTTTGGGATTACTTTGTGAAAAGTGAGGAGAAAACCTATGCGTGCACACCGAGCTAAGTCGTTATGGACTTGGACTCAAGTTCGGGTTTATGTAAATGAGTCGCAAGCCCATTAAAATATTTGTTTGCATCAGTTTTTAATTCTATAATTGACCACTACAGATATTTTTAACTAGTCAAAATGGAATAAACTCTCATCTTCAATTCTGTTATTAAGTTAATAAAATACCATGATTAATACAGCAATAAGAATCTCTATTATAGCAAAAACGTTTTGGGCTAAATGTTTTAAATAGAGATACACACATGCAATTCTTCACATTTTTCTAAATTATCTTATTTTGGTTTTTTATGAGAGTATAACACATAAAAGGTTCAAAACTTATAAATTAAAAATAATATGAATCATAAAAATAATGTAGTTATATTATAGAATTTGGAATGTCATACAACCGTCACACACTACTAAGTAAGCGTTTAGAAGAGATATCACTATGTTTTAACTCTGCGATCTATTTTTTTTAATTTTATATTTAATCAGCATCGTTTTATATTATATTTATTAATTTATTTTATATAATTTATTTATAAATTATTTAGGCAAGTTGTACTAATTGCGTTCCTACAATTATGTCATTCCCTTCGAGATTTACAACCCTTCCGTAAGGATTATAATTGTTATGGTTAACATGTTTTGATTTTGTTTTCGTTTGATATTCGGTATAATATCCATGCAAATGTCAATTGAGCACGGTTATCCGAATTTTATCCGGTATGTTTTTTTTTTGGTTCAACATCCGGTATGCCTAAATTAAGTGAATATCAAATAAAAGGAAATAAGGATATTATTGTAATTTGATTTGCATTCAAATATGGGATCTTGTTTTTGAGGGGGATAAAGATTTCTCATTCGTCCTCGGGGATTCAAAATTCAAACGGCAATTTCAGATCGGAGAAGAAAATGGAGAAGATCTGTGTAGCAGTCCGGGTGAGGCCGCCGGCACCGGAAGTATCACCGGAAAACGGATCTTCTCTTTGGAAAGTCGAAGACAATCGGATCTCTCTTCACAAGTCTCTCGACACACCAATCTCAACAGCCTCTTACGCTTTCGGTATCTAATCTACTCAATTATTCTGGGTTTCGATTTCTATGGATTTGGGTAGCTTCAAAATTTCATCTTTATGATTTTGGTGGTGTTTTATCTTTTCGCAGATCATGTGTTCGACGAAAGGTCTACGAATGCCTGCGTCTACGAGCTTCTTACCAAGGATATCATTCATGCCGCCGTCGAGGGTTTCAATGGTAATCTAATCTGATCGAAACTTGAAAAATGAACTTTTTCGTGAGCGGTCTTAGTTTTTTTTCACAGCTTTGATGTACGGAGCTACTATGATTTTGCTTCAGGTACTGCATTTGCTTATGGGCAAACTAGTAGTGGAAAGACGTTTACAATGACGGGATCTGAAACCGATCCAGGAATTATTCGAAGATCCGTGAGAGATGTATTTGAAAGAATACAAATGGTAGGCCCTCAGGTTTTGTTGGTGTTTGATAGAATACGAAGAGTATAACTTTTAATTTGTGTGTTTTATGTTCTTGGTTTGTAGATATCCGATCGAGAGTTTCTCATCCGGGTTTCGTACATGGAAATTTACAACGAAGAAATTAATGATCTTTTAGCTGTTGAGAACCAAAGACTTCAAATTCATGAGCATTTGGAGGTTGGTTGAATCATCTTCACAAGTGATGTTTCATCTTCTAGTTTTGTTTAGAGTGATTAAACTCACTTGCTTCTTCTCGTTGATATGTAGCGTGGAGTGTTTGTTGCTGGGCTTAAGGAAGAAATTGTTAGTGACGCTGAACAGATTCTAAAACTTTTAGATTCTGGAGAAGGTTCTTAAGCCAAAGCTAAACTAAACAAGCTTTTGTTTTTCCTGCATTTTGATTTATAGTGTATGTTGACATGGTCTTATTCAATTAACAGTTAATAGACACTTTGGTGAGACAAACATGAACGTTCACAGTAGCAGGTCTCACACCATCTTCAGAATGGTACGGTTTTCAGAAGCTGTGAGCGAAAACTTCAACTATTTTTAATGTAATTATTCTGATCCGATCTCTCTTGGTGTGATAGGTGATTGAGAGCAGGGGAAAAGAAAACAGTTCTTCGGATGCTATCCGTGTCTCTGTCTTGGTGAGTGATCATTTTCACTAAGGCTAACATCTTTCAAAAAGTTTCTTGCAAAAATTTGATAATGTAGAGGCTGTTTATCTTCTTATGGGTGTTCTTTTAATGGAATTTAGAATTTGGTTGACTTGGCTGGATCTGAGAGAATTGCTAAAACTGGTGCTGGTGGAGTACGCTTGACAGAAGGGAAGTACATCAATAAGAGCTTAATGATCCTTGGTAATGTCATCAATAAACTAAGTGAGAGTGCAAAGCAAAGGTAGTTTCTTACACTTGATTTGGTTACACGTGACAACGATACAGCTCAGCCCGTTTCTGACGTTCTTGACTATAGGGCACATATTCCATACCGAGATAGTAAGCTGACTCGAATTCTTCAGCCTGCGCTTGGTGGTAATGCGAAGACCTGCATTATATGCACCATCGCACCAGAAGAGGTAAACGAAGTTTTTTTCTCTTTTTTTTAGTGGTCAGGTTTTGCATTTTACTGGCTTTTATTAATCATCGGGAGCGCAAGATTAATGAGCTGACTTATCAAAGGTCCATGATCATGTGTGTAGTATCATATTGAGGAATCAAAAGGAACTCTACAGTTTGCAAGCAGAGCCAAGCGTATCACCAACTGTGCTCAAGTGAATGAGGTCTGCATATTACTTCACTCCTTAAGGCTCTATATTTTTCTTCCCTTGAGAAAAGATCCTTGGCTACATGTGTTATGTTGACTGGTTTTAATCTCGTAAATAGAAACTGATAGTGTTTAAATGCTTCAGATCTTGACTGATGCTGCCTTATTGAAGCGCCAAAAGTTAGAGATAGAAGAGCTACGTATGAAGCTTCAGGTATAATTAAATCTTTATTTCTATTACGTCTTGGTTTGGGGACGATACTGATGTTAGTAATTTTTGTAGGGATCTCATGCTGAAGTGTTGGAACAAGAGATATTAAAGTTAAGCAATCAGATGCTTAAGGTAGTTTTTTTGCGCTTTTTTCTTGTGTATGTATTGAATATACATTGAGCAGATACAGTATACTAAACAGCTACCCTTTTGTTGGATTTCCAGTATGAGTTAGAATGTGAAAGGCTAAAAACACAACTGGAAGAAGAGAGAAGGAAACAGAAGGAGCAGGAACAATGCATCAAAGAGCAACAGTTGAAAATTGAAAACTTAAACAATCTTGTCACTAATTCAGACTTCAAGAGGAAGCAGTCAGAGGTACGGATGCATTCATTGCCTTAGGCAATGTCTTGCTATTCTTGGATTGTTACTTCTGAGTGATGTTTCTTAACCATTACATCCAGACATTTTGCTGAAGTTAACATAACCTTAAAAAGAAAAAATAGGGTTTCATTAAACTTCAATTGAACATACAATTTATATGGCTGACGAATTACGGAAAGCAAAGAATGAATCAAAGATAGCAAACTCCATTAGTTCTGTTAGTGAAGTTATTGCTGCTTTTTAAGCTAATGTGGTGGACTCTTGTTCTTGGTTATGTAAAACTTTTGTTAATGTAACATCATTATTGGCAGGACTATATCAGTTTAAGAAAGACTCCAGATGGGCTATGCAATGTCAATGATAGCAGCGATGTTCTTGGGACTCCTTGCTTTAAATCAGCTTCACATTCCTTTGTGGTTTCTCGGTCAAATTATTCACTGTCTGATTTTAGTCCAATGGTTGATTCCCTGGGCAACGTCGCCGATGAAGACACTTGGACGAAACTAAACAAGGGTTTTGTCGCAGACCTTGACAGCCTCCAGTTTACACCTGCTATGAAAAGTCAACCTACTACATTAACTATGTCGACCACGGTGAGTACATTTACTTCACTCCTATTATCTTCCGATAGTGAAAATTATTTGTGCATGATAATCTCACAGAATCACGTTGAGTAAAGACTCACGTTGCTATCTAGCTCGTGTATGCTTACTGATTTTCTTAAACTTCAAATAAATGCATACCCAGAAATTATCCAAATTTATGCTGCTTGTATGGTTTTCAACAACACTGTGGTGTGTGGAATTCAGCACCTAAAACATGTGCCGGAAGCTGGCCATAATTTTTCGTTATAATTTCATATAGGAATGCTCGCGTGAAGTTCACAAAGAGGTGGAAGATCTCAAAAGTCAGATTGAGTTGCTGACCAATGAGAAGGACAGTGTTCAGGTTAGTCTTTCGTATTTTGTTGGTTGTTCAAGTGACGACGCTCTTTCCATTTTAGTTGTATAGTTAAACTGATTGAGGTAGCTCTGAGCATAAATTGATTCACTTTTAGTTTCTTATAGTTAAACTGCATTTGATATGCTGGATATCAACTTACTTTATTTGACTTCATTTACTAGTCGTTATCCTTTTCATATTAGCTATTCAAACACTCTTTTCTATTTGAAACTGGCATCTAGCTCGTGTATGTTGAGAAAAACTTATTTTTGAACTTCATATAGATTAATACCCAGAGATTCTTCAAATTTATGCTGCTTGTATGGTTTCAACAACACTGTGGTGAGGAATTTAGCACCTTTAAAGATGTGCCCTAAGCTGGCCATAATTGTTTGTTGAATTTCATTTAGGAATGCAAGGTTGAGAATCACAAAGAGGTGGAAGATCTCAAAAATCAAATTGATTTTCTTACCACTGAGAAGGACAATCTGCAGGTTAGTATTAATTAGTTTCGTTGGTTGTTCAAGTGAAGATCTTCTTTCTGTTTTAGCTAGAGAGTTCTCTCAGGTAGCTCTGAGCATAAATTGAACTTACTTTACTTCTACTTCCTTCCTTTCTTCTTCTTGGTTTACTTGTAGTGCTTATAGTGATCATTTATGCATCAACTATGTACTCTCAGGTAAAATTCGACGAACAAGTACTTGTAAACAACAAACTGATGGAAGAGATTTCTGAGCTCAAACAAGAAATGCTTCCCATGAGAGAAATTCCAAAACGATTGTCTGAGTCAGTTGCTAATTGCAATGATGTCTTCAAGGATGTCATAGTCACAATGAAGGTGAACAACTTACTTTTTCTTGTGTGATTTTAATTTGAAGATTTATCAGTAAATGGACGTTTAAGTTCAAGTGTTTTCTCTTTGCAATTTGCCAGAGCTTAATGGCTGAGAAAGAATCTCCAACAGCAAAGGTTCTCTTTGGTACAACAGACATCACAACGAGCCTTCTGTTAACACTAGAAACACAATTCTCAATGATAATGGATGGTCAGAAAGCGGGTAGCGTAAATCAATGGGACACACTTCGTGTGAATCTGAAGAACACAACCACAACCTTGGTCTCAGACGCACAAGCAAAAGACGAAATTCTTAACTGCCACAACAAGGTAGCTTCCTTGTCACAATCATCAAGATACGGATCAATTTTACTTGTTTTTTCAATAGTTTTGCTAGGATACTTTGTCTCTCTTGTTAGGACTTTACTCCAGTGAAACCTCTGCATATGTTGAAGTGCAGATAAATCAAATAAGTGGCGTTCTTTCTTTTTTCGTTATCTACAAATAAATAGCATAACACTTTGTTGCATACTACTAAGCCAAAGCTCTGAGTTTGGATTATATAGCTTATAATTTTTTCAGTGTCTTGACTTCACTCACATCAAACTAAGTCGTCACCATTTTACAGTAACACTAATGACATTTTAAGAATTTACAGTAACGCTTTTTTCTCATTTGGGGTAAACGCTTCATCTCCTGGGAGCTTCGCTTGAATCTCTATCTATGCCATGTTGCCAGAAAAAAAGAAGCAGGCATTGATTCTTGTTTGGTTGGTTAGATCTTGTGGTCAGAGTAGTATTACTAAGATAGGTTTTGAATGTGATTTAAGGGACAAGAAACGACGGCTGCTTTGGAGGAGCAACTAAAGTCTGAGCTAAGCATCATCAAGGAAAGGTATAAGGAGCTGGAGAAAGAGTTGAGTTTGGATAAAGAGCTTCTTGGAGCTTCAAGAGAAAGCCATGAGAGGTTAGAAAAGGAAGTGAACTTCCTGAAGGAAGAAAGAGATTCATTAGATGTAGCAGTCTCTCGATCAACTCAGAGATTGAGAGTGATTGCGAATGATAAAGAGAATGCTTTGAAAGATCTAAATGTGGAAGTGAAGAGAAGGAAAGAGATGGAGGAAGAGATTAAGCAAATCAGCTTTGCTTTTGCTAGCAGGCAGAAGTCTCTTATGTCTTTTCACAATGAAATTAAATCCAAAATGCAGAAACTAACCACTCAAAATCCAAAATCTCAGTAGCAGAAACAGCTCTCTTTGTGTGTTAATGTTTATGCCATTGTTACAATTAAATTATGTATTTCATTGATAAACAATATGTAATGGTTATGAGCTTTATGTGCAAGTGAAACAACTCGTTCAATCTGGATAAACCAAACCGATCTAAACCAAACGAACCATAATATGGTTTTAAATAGATTTTGATTTTTATATTATAAAACCAAATCCGAACCAATATTAACGATACGAAAACAATCATGTAAAAAATTATTCTTTGGATATTATTGTCAATAAACCGAAATATTCATACCGCAATGGACACCCCCAATTTATTAACGTTAAAAGCTCTCTTTGTGTGTTAATGTTTATGCCATTGTTACAATTAAATTATGTATTTCATTGATAAACAATATGTAATGGTTATGAGCTTTATGTGCAAGTGAAACAACTCGTTCAATCTGGATAAACCAAACCGATCTAAACCGAACGAACCATAATATGGTTTTAAATAGATTTTGATTTTTATATTATAAAACCAAATCCGAACCAATATTAACGATACGAAAACAATCATGTAAAAAATTATTCTTTGGATATTATTGTCAATAAACCGAAATATTCATACCGCAATGAACACCCCCAATTTATTAACGTTAAAAGCTCTCTTTGTGTGTTAATGTTTATGCCATTGTTACAATTAAATTATGTATTTCATTGATAAACAATATGTAATGGTTATGAGCTTTATGTGCAAGTGAAACAACTCGTTCAATCTGGATAAACCAAACCGATCTAAACCGAACGAACCATAATATGTTTTAAATAGATTTTGATTTTTATATTATAAAACCAAATCCGAACCAATATTAACGATACGAAAACAATCATGTAAAAAATTATTCTTTGGATATTATTGTCAATAAACCGAAATATTCATACCGCAATGGACACCCCCAATTTATTAACGTTAAAAGCTTCCTTTTCTTCCTAAACCAAAATCTAAAAAAGTACGAAAAACGTGAACGGCAGGATTCGAACCTGCGCGGTCAAAGACCACATGATTTCTAGTCATGCCCGATAACCACTCCGGCACGTCCACTTGTTGTTATCAGCTCCAAAACAAATATATATATATTAACAAATAGTTACTGTTGCAAATCACATTGGGCTTAAATTAAGCCCAAGTTTATAAGGAAAGATTAATTAAGAATGAGAGAGGAGAATACAGACACTAACCTCTAAATGGTAATAAACGAGGAACTCGAGAGTCAACGGTCAGAGCGTTGACCAAATCTCTCACTCTCACCAGCCAAATCTCTCTCTCTCTCTCTCTCTCTCTCTCCGCCCGAATCTCACCGGCGATCTTCGCTTCCTCACCGACGTATCTGATTCACCGGGTAAGCTCTCTGCAAATTCCGATCGATCCAGTTCAGTCTCAGTTTCGATCAAAGTTTCATTTTTTGATCCTATTCTTCTGAGAAGCTTTTCATAATTGGTAATTCCAGTGATCTGAAACAGTTAATTGCATTAATTCATCATTAACAGATAAGTGCTTAGCTTAGAGAATCTTAAGATCAAAGAATGATCAAAAATTTTAAAAATGATCTTTTCTTCTCACCTTTACAGAACAATCTAATTTAGCAGCAGTTCAAAATTGTGTTCTTGATAGTCATTTTCAGTTTCTAGGAATGTTATCATAAAACTTGTTAAATCTGTTATTGGATGTGCAATTTCTAAAAAAGTTTCGATCTTTTTTTTGTCAAATCATGTTATGAGAAGGAGGAAGAGAAGCAATAATGGCGACTCCGGTTGATCCACCGAACGGAGTAAGGAGCCAAGGGAAGCATTACTTCTCAATGTGGCAAACACTCTTCGAGATCGACACGAAGTACGTTCCGATCAAACCGATAGGCCGTGGCGCGTACGGTGTAGTCTGCTCTTCGGTGAACAGAGAGAGCAACGAGAGGGTGGCGATCAAGAAGATACACAATGTGTTTGAGAACAGGATCGATGCGTTGAGGACTCTACGTGAACTCAAGCTGCTACGACATCTCCGACACGAAAATGTGATTGCTCTCAAAGATGTAATGATGGCTAATCACAAGAGAAGCTTTAAAGACGTGTATCTTGTTTATGAGCTCATGGACACTGATCTTCACCAGATTATCAAGTCCTCTCAAGTGCTAAGTAATGACCATTGCCAATACTTCTTGTTCCAGGTATGCGATTAGGTCTTTCTTGAAAATCATAATCTTAATATGGTCGATCTCTTTAATCTCCCAATAGTTTAACTTAAAGAATGATGGTTCTTGCTAGATCTTGATTGTTTCTTTTTTCTGTGTAGTTGCTTCGAGGGCTCAAGTATATTCATTCAGCCAACATTCTACACCGGGATCTTAAACCTGGTAACCTCCTTGTGAACGCGAACTGCGACTTAAAGATATGCGATTTCGGGCTAGCGCGCACGGGAAACACCAAAGGTCAGTTCATGACTGAGTATGTCGTGACTCGATGGTACCGAGCACCGGAGCTTCTCCTCTGCTGCGACAACTACGGGACATCCATCGATGTTTGGTCGGTCGGCTGCATATTCGCCGAGCTTCTTGGAAGAAAACCGATATTCCCTGGAACTGAGTGTCTTAACCAGATTAAACTCATCATTAACATTTTGGGAAGCCAGAGAGAGGAAGATCTTGCGTTTATAGATAACCCGAAAGCTAAAAGATACATCGAATCGTTACCTTACTCGCCGGGGATATCGTTCTCTCGTCTTTACCCTGGCGCGCACGTTCTTGCCATTGATCTGCTTCAGAGAATGCTTGTTCTTGATCCTTCGAAAAGGATTAGTGTCACGGAAGCGCTTCAGCATCCTTACATGGCGCCTTTGTATGACCCGAATGCGAATCCTCCTGCTCAGGTTCCTATTGATCTTGATGTAGATGAAGACGAGGATTTGGGTGCAGAGATGATAAGAGAGTTGATGTGGAAGGAAATGGTTCATTATCATCCAGAAAATGATACCATAAACACTGAGCTCTCTGAGTTCTGAGCTCAAATCTTTTGCAGGTACTTTTCAGAGAGATCTTTCAACTACTTTTTTTGTTATTTATCTTTGATGTTTGATTCTAACAGAGTTGTTTAATAATAGTGTCGAAGAGGAAGAGAAGAAGAAGAAAAACATATAAATTACCGCGATTTGTTTGTGTCATGGAAGCTCTGTTTTTGTTTTTTTTTGGTGACAAGCTAAAGTGTTTGTAACGTTTGTACATAAGAGTCCTGAAACCTCTGCCTTGTAATATGTCTCCTTAAAACTCATTACTCTTTGGATCTTCTTATTAATTAGAGTAATTAGCAGAATTGGTATATTATCAACAGAAACTAGGAACAACAAACAATTTTTGGTAGAATTATTTCAAAATTGTTTTTGTTTCTTCATTGCTATTTTGCTAATCTCTTTTAAGGTTATTATCATTTGGCAAATTTATTTTATTACTAATGCTTTCTAGGCTTTATACTATATATTGACTTCAGGCTATATAGTTTTAAAATTTTGAAGATTTTCGAATGTTCGAACTATTTAATTTAATTTATTTGAATACAGTTTGAAGATAATACTCCTAAGTCCTAACGTATATTATTCACAGACGTAGTTGCCAAAAATATATATGAAACACGTAGCAACACTGCAACGCTGTTTGGGGAGAATAACTACTACCTCCTTTCTATTGTTTTAATAAATAGATTTTGACTAAAATTATAGTTTAATCATATTACTTCAATATATTTGGTAGATGGATACATTTATTTAATATATTAATAAAATATATATTTTTATACTAGTTTGATTAATATGTGTGAAAAACTTTGAAGAACACATTTTCTAAATCATAGAAAGTATTATTTTACTCCATATATATAATGTACGTGTGGAATTTGAATGATCCATAGAATGTTCCGATGCGGCAATGCATTGTGTTTTAAAAAAAAAAAATTGTTTCTTCTCACTTTCACACCTACTCCTGAATTCAAACTTGCTCCTTAAGCTGCGTTCAAGTCGGATTCATGCATTGTAGTTCTTTTTTTCTTAAAATACATTGTCAATTGTATTAACATTGTGTTTCACCTTTTACCAAAAAAAACATTATGTTTCACCAAATCAAATGTCTTTTAAAATAAGTTAATATGAGAACAGGTAGGGAAAAACACATTATTAGGGTTGTATCACTTGCGGCGCCAACATGTCATTCGGTCTTTGCAAGGCAAACTGAATTTTGGGTCCTTAGTTAAAAATTCGGTAGAAACATTTTCTAAATGTATTTTGAGATTAATCGAAAGGTGTATTGTAAATAGTCGAGCGATAGCGTTTTAAAGTTCTTATTATATGCATAATGTGTAATGCGCATCTCTGATGCAGTTTGGATCAAAGTTACCCCAAAAGAAGTTAGGATCTTGTTTAATCTGGAAAAAAACAAAATTATATGGGTTGTTTTTATGATAGTATTCTGCTTGCATGATTTTATTTAGGGAATAATGCAAAAAAAGGAAAATTCGTTTGATGAACAGTGTGTGAATAAGAATCTTTTACTTTTGTATAAAAAAAATGAGTGTGCCAAAGAAGTTAAACTTGATTAATAAGATCTTTGAACCTAAAAATAATCTAGAGCCAGAATAGATAAAGATTCTAGAAGACCATGTCAAGTCCTGAAATTGCAAGTCAAGGAATCCTTATCGTGTTCATTAGTTCATGTCATTGGTCGTTTCTATACTATTCCAACTTCCAATCTCTTATCTAGGTGCTGTTTGGTTGCTCATTTATCATCTCCATTTAAATAATATATCTAGATAATCCATCCACAGGATCCATTTATATATTGTTTGTTTTATTTTTTATTATCATTTGAATGAATCATCTGAATGTAGATGTCTGTAAATATGTTTGTTTGAGTAGTTTACATTCAAATGATAACAAAAAAAATAAAACAAACAATATATAAATGGATCATCAAGTATAACTGAATTTAACAAAAATATGAATACCGTTTTGACTAGTTTACATTTCCATCAAGATAAGTTTAACAAAAATATAACTGAATTACTCTTGCTTTTATCTAATTAGTTTTTTATTCTTCATTTTAACAATAATTATTTTTAAATAACCAAATAATTATCCAACTAATTATACAAAAAACATATTATATAAGTTTACAAATAATAATAAAATTGTCAATTAGAACACAAAATTATCAAAAGCAGAGTCAAAATCAAAAGAAATAAAGGAAAATTGAGGGAATGGCCCAAGTTAATTGAAAAATTAAAGATTCCGAGCCAATAATTGATGTTGATACATATTATACATAAAAATTATGACTATTTTGCCCTTATATTTATTTGATATGGTTCAGGTAGATAACAATTCAATGATCATGCTAACTAATATGATATCGTGATAACTGTGTTAACCATGCTAACAACTAATATGATACTCGATTAGCACATTGTATAAAAATCAAGTTAACATGATAACTATTGTGTTAATGTTGCTATTATTTCATGAAAAATAAGAGTTAACTTTGTTCGATTAGCATATTATACGAATATCGAGTTAACATGATAACTATCGTGTTAACGTTGCTATTATTTCATGAAAAAAATGAATTAAATTTGTTAACTGTATAAGTTATGCAAAATAATCATGCTAACAATGTTATCGTATCAAAAACTTATCATACTAACATTGTGAGTATGCTAACTATCGTGTTAACGTTGATAACATCTTCTTTCACCCCATCACCACCACCACCGACATTGTCACCACCATCGTCATTACCGACACCACCACCACCACCACCACCGGCATCACCATCACTTCCACCACCACCAACCCGCCATCACCAACACCGCAACCATCACCACCACCGACCACCACCACTATCGACAACACCATTACTACCACCACCACAGCCACCGACGACTCCAACACCACCACCACCACCACCGCCACCACCATCGACCATCACCATCACCAACACCACCACTAACACTATCCCCATCATCAACCATCACCGACATCACCACACTTACCACCACCACCATCAACACTTCTATCACCAATACTACCGCTACCAACAATCACGATCAACATTATTTTTTCTTGATTTTTTTTATTTTTATTTTAAATAGATGTGAAGAGAAAACGTGTGAAAAACATGAATAGAAGAAAAGAATTGTGAGTCAAAAGCAATTAGATAAGATAGAAGAATTCATTCGTCTTTTTATGTACAACAGTGTGGTGAAAAAGCTGTCAGAAATAGTCGATTAATTTTGATATTAATTGAGTCCATTCCTTACAATTTCTCAAGAAATAAATCAAAATATTAAATTAGAACACAAAATTATCAAAAGTCAACATGTCTGCTTTATGGTCTTCAAAACATGACCCAAACTTTAATCTGTAATACAAAGAACACAAATTGCAAGCTTAGTCCATTATCTTCTAGGCAACAAAGGACACAAATTGTAACAACAAAACGATGACAGTAGTCTTTTAGTGATGACATTAGAAGAGTTCAAAAGTTTGCATACATGATTTTCTCCTCCTCGACTAAAAATTTAAATGCAAGATCAACATAACGATAAGTAAAGTAGAGCATATAGAAATAACATATACCTTACTTTTCATCTATATTTTGGAACAAAGTGAAGCCAATGGAACTTAGAACGCTCTTCCTTATGTACTCTACCAGAAGTACGAGTGATGAGGTCGAGTAAGTTCTTATACAATACAGAGAAGGTTTTCACTATTAACCAAAGACAATAAACCTTAATGAATACAAATGCGACACACAAGATCGACAAAGCAATAACACAAAGAGAGGATACGAAAAATTGGAATTCTCTTGTTGTGAATCTTTGATAAAATTATGCAGAGCCATTCTTGCTGTCACAATTTTGACCCATTTCTTCAGCTTATATTTCGGTTATTTCCTGTCTAATTAAGGTTCTCCATTTTGTCTTTCATACACCAGATGTTCTTTTAATAACTGATCTCAAACTAGCATGTCTACGATTAAACAGTTCTTGAATGTTGGGTAAATAAACAAATCAACATGGTTTATGGTTAGAGTGAGAACAAAGTTTAACAAACCAATGTAAAATAATGGAACAAACATAAATCTAAAAGTAGAATTGTATAACATCTTTAAATTTCATTTTGGTATGTGTTTATTTGTATAGAAGTGTACCAGTTCTTTTTGCTGTATTTGATTTGTTGTTTAGTATGTGCATGTTATAACTTTGTAATACTAATTTGTATTGTTTAAAATTTTGAACATATACTTTTAAGAAGTAACCAAAAAGAGAAAGAAAAAAATGTGACTTTTTTTTAAACTTCTGCCCCAAGAAAGTCAATCAATAGGACCAACTGACCAGCGTTATACACTTATACACATACTGACATACGCCATGATGTCCATTTATTCGTGGAAACTTCTTATCTTCATCCCACACAAAAACAAATTATCACAAGAATATAAAATTCTAAGACCCTGAGATTTGACCAAGTTATAAACGCTTCATCAGATCCGGTCAAATTCTCAAATCCATATTTTAATGTAAAAAACCCCATATTCTTTTTATCGGTTTTATAAAAAAATATTCTTGTCGCGTCAAGCCATTTAAAAATTAATACAAATCCCGTATATTAATATTAAAGGTCGTCTCTCTTTCTGTAAAACAAACTCTCCATTACCAAAAACAAAGCCAAAAAAAAACCTTGAATCTCTCCTAATCTCACAAAAAACATCACAAAATTAAAGAAACCAAAGGATCATCGATTGAAATAAAAATGGTGAGCCCATTTAGATCTCCATGTTCTTCGCCAAGAAGATCAAGAAAAGAGAGCAAGAACCCTTATTCAAACCGTGGACTTGAAAAATTCTCTGAGCTTCTCTCGGTGCTCGACGAGAAGAGACAGAGCATATACTCGAAGAAGCTCGATTCCGGTGGCCCGCCTCTTGTCCGATTCGTGTTCACAAGCTCCGGCGAGTGTGTCCCCGTCGTGATCAAATCATCTTATCTTCATAAAAAACAGAAGAAGACCAAAGATGTTGCTGCGGCTAAAGTCAAACCAGTGGTCAACGAATCGAAAACGGAGGAAACTAAGAAAACAGAGCCTGAAACAGAGCAGAAACACGTCTGTGTTTTGAACGAGAATCTGAAGAAGATCACGAACGAGAATTTGAAGAAGATGACGAGACCGAATCATTTCTTTCCCGTGACTATGATCTTGGTTCTTGTTTTCTTGGTTTTCTTTGGAAGATCTGCTGCGATTATGTGCACTTGTATCGTTTGGTACTTGGTTCCAACGATCAAGGAACAAAGCAGACACAAAGGATCTTCATCATATGCAATGAAGAAGAGAGATTTCGCTAGGAAATTGAGTATCGAAGACAGAGCATCGTTTAACCCAAGAACTGTTCGTGATAATTCTCCTCTCAAGTAGATTTTTCGTTTTCTGGCTGCTCGTGAAAAAAACGCGTGATCGAGCAAGAACGTTTTTTTTTTCGGTTGTTGTGTAAAAGTTCTTTTGTTTTTTTTCTTGCTACTATTTGTTTATTCTCTGTTTCGTTCATAGTTGTTATTTTTGAGACAGCTGAATTAGCAGAAAGTTATGTATCTTTTTCTCTTTTTATTTTTCTTAGGATTTTAAATGTTTATAGATGTAAATATGCATCGACCAAAAAAACAAAAAGATGTAAATATGCAATTGCAAGATGTATACTGGCTACTGCAAACATAGCTTGAACATCTTTATCTCCCTTATCTGTATAATATAAGTCACCGAACTGATGATAAAATTTCCCAACTGTTTATATCGATTTCTTGATATGTGTGTAGGGAATACGGATTATTTTCTGCAAAGGTAGTTTGTGATTTTTCCTAAGTTTTGTTTTGGGTATCTTGATAATTGGTATGATCTACATTTTCTTCTTAAACAATGCCACGAGAGTCACGACAGCGCAAAAAGAAAATACAAAATTGTTGGGAGATTTGCAGAATTATTACAAATAATTATATCTTGTTAAGAGCACCGATCATACAATAATAGTATATGATTAGACCACTGGTGGGTGGTAATTAAAAAAATAGCCTGTGATCTTGAAGTAGATTTTTTTTTTTGGTCGACATCCTCAAAACTCTTCTAACATGGTGTTAACCATTCAGAAAAGGTTGAGTTTACATAATATAAATGGTAAAAGTAATCTCGAGCATTCTGTGCTAACTTGTCTGCCTTCGTGTTCTGCGTACGTGGGATCTTTGATATTGAGAATTGGTTAAATTCCCGTCTAATCACTGCATATTCCTGCAAATGAAAGGAGAAAGCTGGCCACCCCTCCGGATTCCCCACCATTGCCAAGACATCCGAACTGTCCGTAAAGAAGGATACTTCGTATCTCCCAGCATCCAGCATGTAATGCATTGCCCAAATAAGTGCCTCCAATTCTGCGTGTAGGGGTGTCAAACTTTTTCCAATCTTCTGGGCACCCATTAAAGTACGTGACATTTCTGTATTTGTGCTATACCAGCCTAATCCTGTATTTGGAACATCAATTTTCCATGATCCATCCGTATAACAAAGGATCCCTTCCCTGGGTTGAACCACATTGTGCAACAGATGTGGACCAGATCCTACTGTGTCGCCCTTCTGAGCCTCGTCCCATGCATATGCTTCTGCCATTGCAAGCTTAACAACATCCCTGGGGTCACGGGTGACATTTTTGAAAAAATTCTCGTTTCTCATCTTCCAAATATACCATAGTAACCACGGATATATCTTCATGTCCTCATGATCCGAGAGATTCCAAAATAAATATGCCATATTAGAATACAATGCTTCTGTTGGAAATCGTTGTGTCGGTGTAGGTATTGGCAAAAGCGCCCATACCTGTAGTGCCGGAGGGCAGATAAATAGCATATGGTTTATAGTTTCCTCCTCCGCCCCACACCTACTGCAACGAGGGTCGCAACCGATACTTCTAGCTTGTAAGCGTGTCATTACCGCCAAACAGTCAGAAAGTGCTTGCCACATAAAGTGTTTTAGCTTCGGGGGACACTTGGTTTTCCAAATCCTTGTCTGTAAGGGGCTAATATCTGGTCCATAAACCCGGACCGATTTCTTATCTGGGCACAGTTGCTCTGTCAGATATCCTGACTTAACAGTGTACCTTCCTGTCTTTGTGTAAAGCCAGCCCCATATGTCCTGCCTATATTCTCGTGTTGTTGCCATTCCAGTTATTATAGGGATATCTTCCGGTGCCACCAGTTGTGCAAGTAGTGGAATATTCCACGTTGAGGTTATAGGGTCAATCAATTGATTGACTGTTAGCTCAGGGAAGTAATTTACCCCGTTGCCTTTTGCTGATCTCGGGTGTGATGCCGGAATCCATGGATCATTCCATATCGAGATAGAATGTCCAGATCCAATTCTTTTAATGAGCCCTTTTTGTACCAAAGATCTAGCAGATGTAATACTTTTCCATCCATACGATGATGAGTATGATCGTATCGGATCCAGCGGAGTACCGTCTCTAAAATACCTTCCTTTAAACACCCTTGCAAATAACGACTCTGAGTAATCTATGAGCCTCCATAATTGTTTGGCCAGCAGGGCTGAATTAAAATCCTTTAGCACCCGAAAGCCAAGTCCTCCTTCCTCCTTTGATTTACACAGTTTGTTCCAAGCAATCCAGTGCATGCCCCTTTTTTCCCCGTTTTTACTCCACCAGAACTTTGCTACTGCACTCGTAAGTTGGGTAATGATGGTTTGTGGTAGATGAAAACATGACATAGTATATGTCGGAACTGCTGTGACCACTGTTTTTATTAGGATCTTTTTTCCTCCTCTGGATAGCAATTTTGATGTCCACCCATTTACCCTTTTTTGTTGTCTATCGACAATATAATTGAAGACCTTTGTTTTTGCTCCTCACAGACTCTCCGGAATCCCCAGATAAGTACTCATTCCTCCAATATTACTAATCCCTAACTCATTGTGTAACAACTCTCGTGTCGCTGGTGGGACTTTGTATCCAAATTGGACAGACGATTTAGTGAAGTTAATTTGTTGCCCCGACGCTAGCTCATATTGTTTCAAGAGGTGCAGTAATACAGTCGTCTCTGCCTGTGTAGCCTTACAAAAGAACAAGCTATCATCCGTAAAAAACAGATGCGATACTGCCGGACTCGCCCGGGCAACCTTCATCCCTGTGATAAGACCATCCTTTTCTGCTCGTTTCAAATTAGCAATCAATACTTTGGTGCAAAGTATGAATAAATAAGATGACAGTGGATCCCCCTGCCTTAGGCCTCGTTTTGGTTGTATATTACCCTTTGGACTCCCATTTATAAGCACCCTGTATTGGACTGACTCTATGCAACACATTATCCACTTAACCCATCTCTCAGCAAACCCCAATTTCAGAAGTAATTGTCTAATGAAAGACCATTCCACTCTATCATACGCCTTGCTCATATCTGTTTTAACAGCGATAAATTGTTTCTTACAAGTATTGTTAGTCCGCAATCTATGAAACATTTCCTGTGCTACTAAAATATTGTCCGATATAAGTCTTCCTGCCACAAAGGCCGATTGTGTCTCTGAGACCAGCCGAGGTAATAGATATCTTAGCCGTTGGCATAGAACTTTGGATATTATCTTATATCCTACATTACACAAGCTTATGGGCCGTAAATCCGTCATTCGAGTTGGCCTCTCCGTCTTAGGGATGAGACATATGTTAGTCAGGTTCAACCTCTTGTCAAAAGTCTCTGAAGTAAAAAATTGGTTCACTTGATGTACCACCTCTCTCTTTATAACATTCCATGATTTTTGAAAAAACAGTGCAGTCATTCCATCTGGTCTCGGGGCCTTTGTAGGATGCATCATGAAGAGTGCGTCTCTGACTCTGATTCTGTTGCCGGTTTAAGAAGTTCCTCATTTTCTTGGTCTGTGATTTCCGCCTTTATTTCCCCTAATATATTCTCGAAGTCCGTTGGTAAGGTGGACGTAAATAACTGTGAAAAATAATCCCCTGCCACCTTTCCTATCTTCTGCTCTCCAGTTACCCAAACATTGTGGTTATCATGTAACCCGACAAGCCTATTAATTGTTCTCTGCTGTTTTGTAATAGCATGGTAGAATTTTGTATTGAGATCTCCACATTTTTTCCAGAGATTGCGGCTCTTCTGTTTCCAGAATTCTTCCTCTTCATGGTATGCATCCTTTAGCTTTTGCGTAATTTCATTAAGTTCCTCTTGAGAACATGAATCATCTGTCTGACTTTCCTCCAATTGGCGCTAGAGTTCTTCAATCTTGTCTCTGCCAAATGGTTTAATCGTTTGTCGCCACTTTGAGATCTCATGTCTACAAGTGATAATCCTATCTACCAAAGTTTGAGAGCTTTGAGTATTATACTCCTGCCAGCCTCGAGTTATGGCATCCATTAATCCCTCTTGACCAATCCATCTTTTATCAAACCGAAATTATTTTTTTCTGTTTAATATTTTTTGATTCAATTGTTACTACAATTGGCCTGTGGTCCGATCCTATCATCCTCAAATATTCGATATATGAAAATGGAAATAATTCATGTCATTCCTCCGTTGCGAGTCCCCTATCCAATTTGCAACGTACATTTTGACCGTTTCTTTTCCCCTTCCAAGACAGTGTATTCCCGCGATTTGGAAATTCAAGTAATCCACAATTACTAATCATAGTGTTGAAATCCACAAAGGAGGATGGCTGTCTTATTTTTCCTCCCTGTTTCTCATGATTGCCTGTTATTTCGTTAAAATCTCCAATTATAAACCACGGTTCATTTCTTGTTAGGCTTGTTCTTGTTAACCGTTTCCAAAATTGTTCCCTGAATCTTTGAACCGGGTCACCATATACAAATGACATATAAACTAATTTACCATCAATACAAGCTTCAATTTCAATGATCCTTTTATTAGAAAAAATAACTTTTACATCAAAGTTTTTATTACAAATTAAAGCCAGTCCACCACTGAAACCACACGGATCAACCGTAAATAACACATCATAACCAAAGTGTAATTGAAATTGCTCAACAAAGCTAAAACACTGTTTTGTTTCTGAGAGAAATAAAAAATCCGGTCTGAACCTTCTCCATATTTCCCTAAGATAACTTATTGTATACCTATTACCGAGATCTTGACAATTCCAGCTCAAAACCCGCATTAATTCTTGTGATTATCCCCCTGCCCCTCCAGCATACCTTCGCTGTTCCTCTGTTGAGCCGGCCCTTTATCTCCACCGCGTTTAACCTCCTTGATCATCCCCTTCTTCCTTGGTGTAATAGGATTCATCATTTTTCGGGACCCGCTACCCACACCAAAGGATGATTTGAAAAGCCTTTTCTTGGCGCCAGTTTTTTCTTGAACTTTCGTCACCCCCTATGAAGTTGCCTCTCGTTCCATTCCGATTAACGTTTGTCCCCCTTCGCGTTCTTCTATCTCGGTTCCACCAATCTCAATGCACGGTACCTGATCGTCCACTGGTTCCTCCATAATATCTTCTAAATCTGTAATGTCAAAGTCACCCGAGACATCGTCCATGAGCCCCTCTTGATCAAGGTCGAGGTCGAGGTTGAACTCCTTGGGCTGATCCTCCACCTCTCCTCCTTTCACCTCCTCTCCATCCCCCAACTCTCTTATTACTACCTCTGTATCCTCCACTTCCTCCACCACTACCCTGTCGATCAAATTTTCTAACTCCTCCATCCCCATAATTGGCTCCTCGAATGTTAGTCCCTTACGGACTTTCTTAGCAGAATGTTGAGTAGGACTGTCCCTATCATGTCCCTCTCTGAGATTTCCTTCTTCCAGGCCGGCCTTTGGCAAATTATCCACCATCCTTGGCTCATGCTCTTCTGTGGTTCAGTGTATGCTTCGGGATGTCCCACCAATTCTTTTCCTCGCCTCCCTTGGTGGGAAAGATCGAGAAGACCTTCTCACAGCGTCTCCGTTTGACCTTTGCTGAGTTCTCCCGAGTCTCGAAGCTCTCTCCTCCTCTTGAACCTCCCCCATTTTGCCTTTACCCTTGGTTGTATCTCCTTGCATACGTCTCTGCCTTGCGTTTTCTTCCGCCGTGCCCGTAGGAAGTCGAGTGCCCCTTTATAGCTTTTGGACCCTCCATTTGGTTTCTCCTCCGGGTGAAACACCTCCTCTCGATGATCTTTCCTCTGCTGCAGGGTATGACACCTACTGGAGTCATGGCAGAGGCTGAAGCACTCCCGACAGTACCCATGTAATCTCTCATATCGAAGGATGACAATGGCTTCTTCTCCACTGTGAAACTCCACAGTTGTTTCAAGGGAAATTGGCTTAAACCCGTCAATGACAACTTGCACCCTCCCTCCATCCAAATCCACATTCTGGACTGTCCCGAGAGCCTGTCCTATGCTGCGGAACGTCGGTTCAGCCCAGAAGTGAAGCGGGACCCCCATCATTCGGATCCAGAAAGTTAGCACCGAAGGATAATTCACGTCCATAACCGGTTCCCATCTGACTAATGCCACCATCCACCCATCAAAATGGAAGGGTTCCATCTACAGCACCATCTGAATGTCCTCTTCTTCATCGAAATCAAACTGGAAACGCCCCATGCCCAGGTCCGCTCCTGCCACCCGTTCTTCGACTTTCCATATCCTGGGTAGCATGAATAACAGTGCCTTCATCTCCTGAACTTTGGGGTTCATACAATGCCTGATGAGTGTACGGCTGTAGCCGTTAATGAGCTTCGAGTTATCAAATCTAGGGACCGTAATCTTCAGGCGCGGGGCCAGTGATTCCTTCCTCCTGCTAGAACCACCATTAACCAATCTCGCTGCTTGAGACATTACGAAGCCTGAAAGAACAAGTTTTGTATACTCGTGTGAGTGAAGGCCAAAATTAACCCGAGAGATGTGAATATCTCTATCCCTCTCTATGCCCTGTTTTATACCAACCTTATTCACCTCCTCAGTATCACATATGGTAACCACTGTTAACTCTAGTATTAGACCAACGGAATTGTCGTGATCGGCTCTAATAAACGCAAATAGATCCAGAGAAGATCTCATTACCTTGATCCGAATTATACAGCCATCTTGATCTCCCATTATTATGGATAAACCAATATCCCCAATGAAGATTTCCCCATGAACCTCCAAGCCTTGACTCCGTGACTCTCGGGTATTTATGAGATTTCTTAATCCATCACTTCCCCAATTCTTGGTTAATTGTCCCAATTGCCTCTTCTGGATCCCCTGAATCACCGGGAGTGCAGAGATGAAAGAGATTCGAACATCATGGACCTGATGCATTATCTCCAGAGTTTTAATGTTACCCTTGATCGTTAGTGTGAACCAATCCTGATATGATTGCCCTCCTTTTTTAGCCCCGTATCTGATCTGATTAACTCCAATCTCTGCATTCTCCCAATCCCCCACAAAAACCAAAAATTGATCTCCCAGAATTATATAAATCCCCCACCAAAAACTCTGCGCCTCCTTAATTTTCGTATCCTCATAGCTCCCCCACCTGAGCTCATAGTTCCTCAAACCCATATTCCAATTCCGGGTCCGTTCGGCATCTCCCTGAACCTTAGAGACCGACTCCGTCGTATGTCTTCGAGCTCAATCCTTAACTGATTCCCCATTGTCACCTTCACTCTTTCTCCAGACCGTCGACCCCCTTAATTGTGTGACCATAGAACCCTAGATCCCGAAAAGCTTCGCCATTTTTGAGAGAGAAAAAATGGATGTCGGTTACAATGAAAACAGATAGTTTAGTTTACGAAAATGAAGTAGATTTAGATAAGGAAAATTCCATAAAAATATACCAACTTAATTTTTCTAAGCTTTTTAATACTTAACGTATTTTTGTATCCAGTTTGTTACCTCAACTAATTTTTTTGTCCCACTTAAATCACCAACTGTGAACCGTGTGTTGACTCGTTAACAGAGTTTAACGTCATTGTAAACGGAGTTAAACACTGACTAAATTTCTGTTAAATATATAACTATGGTTAAAAAGTTATACTCGACTTTCCTAATATATAGTGTTTCTCCTCTTATACATCCCTAATTCTATAACCCTAAATAAATAAATAAAAAATCGATTTTGGTTTCAGATTTGTCGACAGAGAGATGCGTGAGAGAAACAACATTGGAAAAGATAAATCGAAGCGAAGGTTCTGGAAGTGGGTCGAACTCAAATGCAATGAGTGGAAGAATGAGCTTGATGATGGGTGAAGTGAGATGTCACTTTGGAAAGCCATCAGTCGTGAAGCAGGCGTGGACAGACGATAATCCATGAAGAAGGTTCTACAGCTGTGGAGATGCAAACTGGAAGTCTTGCAATTTCTTCCGATGGTTCGATGATGAGAAGCCTCATGGTTGGCAAAAAACCGCTTTGATGGAAGCACGAGATCTAATTCGGGAGCAATTTGAGGAGCTGAAGAAGCTCAGAGCTTTAGTGGGCCATGCGACGATTAAAAATGAAGATGAAGAAGGAAAGAAGAAATCAGAGTTGTTGGTTCAGATTGAAAATGAGAACAAGAAGCTGAAGCAAGAAATTGTGTTGTGTATTGAAAAGGAGAAGCTTCTCCGACAATTTATGTTGATTTCATGGATAGGATTTGTAGGTGTTACTGCCGTAATCGTCAATGCTTTGAAGTAAGTTGTTTTGTTGTTTGTTGTAGCTTTGATAATGGTTGTAATGTTCCTATTGCATTTTGGTATGAAGGTATAACTATCGTTGTAATGTTTAACATATGTTATGAATTCACAAATGAGTTTGTTATTAACATTTCGACTTTTATTGTGTTTCGAATTAACGAATTGACAAATTTCATAAAGTCAAAGATGTTACAAAGGAAGATGCATTAAAAATGGAAAGCCAAATCAAGATTAAAAATTCATCATCATCTTAGTTTACAAAAAGAAAAGGCAAATCATGATTAAGACAAAGTTTTGATAGCCGATACAAAATAAAACCAAATGAACATTTGGAGTTTACAAACCAAAAGAAACACAGTACTTGCAAAATATTACTTGCGTGAATTTGGACCTTTGGAAGAGTCACCTCCTACTTCTCTTGATGTGAAACCAAAGCATTCAAACACCCGATTAGAAAATGGGCACATGTACACACCGATTCCTCTCGGAACTGTCACCTTACAAGCTTGTCCTCTTCCAGGAGGACGTCCACGACGACGCCCTGTTGCAGCAGCTGCAGTAGATGATCCCGCTTCGGTTTGTGGCCCTGTTGAGACTTGAGGTGCAGTAAAAGCAGGTACAGTTGATGATGAAGCTTCAGTTTGTGGCCTTATTGAGGGTTGAGGCGCAGTAGAAGGTTGGGATTGATTAGGCGTAGATGGTGGAATTATAGGCTGTGATTTAGTAGCCCTACATTTTCTTGGTGGATATGGGTTGCTGCCTCCAGCATCCAGATATGTTAAACTCTTTAACATGTGAGAAACATTTCATAAGAAAGCACCTTGTTATAGAGGAATATCTAAATATAGAATTACCTTCCGAGATCTTCCACGTTTGTGTGATGAAACCTAGACCACGAAGGATTCATTTTTGCAAGTACCACGGTTATGTCTTTCCTTCTTACAGTTACCACAAGTTATTGTCCTGCCTCCTAGAGTTACTCTATTTGGCCTGGACGAAGATTCATGTGCTGCTTTTATCCTTTTTTCTTAGGTCTTCCTGGCATTTTCCTGAAACCTGGCACTCCAATGGGCTCTTTATCAGTCTTTTCCCATAAATTCTCTCTATTATCTGGTTTTATGTTGTTCATATACGTCGCTTGCCAAACTTCAGTCTTGTAATAGTACTCCACATGACTACAATTAAATGATCATAATGATAAGCAACATAAAACAAGAGAATTTTTTTTTAACAAAATGATAAACTCTTACTTTTCTGGCTGCTGGTGGTTCTCATTGATAATGATGATTGCATGTGGACAAGGTATGCCAGTTAGATCCCACTCCCTACAAACACAAGTACGCAGACGAAGACTGACCTCATAGCTACAATTGTACAACAAAAATTCAAACAAGTTGTCTGAACTTGTCATTACAGAACAGTCCTTGCTCTCTGCTCTGTTTGCTTCCAAAATGTCTGCAATCTTCTTCGGGAAAGGCAGTATGCACCTGCTTGCTCTCTTAAATCTACGAGAAATGCGCATCATAGCCTGTCGCCTAATTGCTTTCATCATATTAATCAAAGGCAACTCTCTAGCTCCTTTAATTGTCCTATTGAAGCTCTCTGGTAAGCTGTTACAAACGTTAGCAGATCTTGCATTTGTCGAGAAAAAAGCTAGACTCAAACTCGTTGGATCAGCTTTCAACAAATCATCATGAGCCTCTCAGTCATATACACGTAACTCCTCCATGTGCAAATCATACTCTCCTTTCGTTTTGCTGTAGGCCACATTCCAGAAAAAAGGTTTGTAGTCAGTATCCCTGTACTTCTTTTTCCAGTTACCATAGACATGGTTTGCACAAATTATATGCTCAGCGTTTGGAAGAACACTAGCTAGAGCTAATTTTAAACCCTGCGAACGTTAATAGTCAGTTAGTACTACTTAAAACAGTGTATAACTACTTAAAGCAACTTTAATAAATTAAAGACAAGAAGCATACCTTTTGCTTATCAGATATGAAGGTGACGCCATCTCCTACATCCAAGTCCAAGTCAGTTGCCAACTTTTCGAAGAACCATGTCCAAGACTCCTTGTTCTCACCTCTAACGATAGCCCAAGCTATAGGATAAATTCTGTTTTCTGCATCTCTACCAACTGCTGCTAATATCTCGCCCTTTAACTCCCATTTTAAGAATGCACCATCAACGCCTATCAGAGGTCTACAATAGTTCTTCCAAGTTCTCCTTAGAGGTTCAAAACAAACATAGAAGCTTTCAAACACTTGTATTCCATCCTTCTCAACGGTTACTATCTCTGTTGTAACATCTTTGTTCTTTCTCACCAACTCAGCCTCGTAGTCCCTTAGCTTAGCAAATTGCTCCTTCTGAGTATCTAACACCATATCTAAGGCAATTCTCCTTGCTTTTCTGCATTTATATATCAAAGCTGAGATGTTGTACCTATGCATTAACTCATCTTTGATATCAGAGCTCCTTATGTCAGGTCATTTTCTTGCCTCCTCTTTAAATAGTCTAGCAATTGTTCCCTGTTTCAACATCCTCGCTCTTCCTGTAGGCAAATGATTGTGTTGCCACTCATACACTTTCACCATCCACTTCCGTATAGGTTTCTCCACAGAGCAATAGATCCTCCATTTACACTCTTTGTGTGTGCATATTGCTGCAAGCTTGTCAGGTTGCCACTTATTCAGCTTCACATCAAACTGTGTCTTCAAAACATATCTCAGAAGTTTATCCTGAAACTCATCTCCACTGTTAAACGTCTGCATCAGCCATAAGTACGGAGGTTTATCATACTCACCTTTACTTTTCTCTTGCTTATGAGGTCTTCCACGGTCATCTTTCTTGTCCCAGTTCCACCACTCTTCATCAGTGTCTTATGGAGAATCTGGATATTTACCAGGGGAAGTACTCTTTCACCCTCGACTTCACTGTCGTAACCAGCTTCAACATCCACATTAGGTTGAGTACCCTTTGAATGAACTGTAGGAGTCTCTAGTTCAGCTAGTGCAAACAAGTTTGCAAACCGTGGGTCATCAGCTCCAGCTTCACCTAATATCTGGTTCTCATCCTTAGATTGCGCTTCTTCTTCCGGTCTAGTTATTTCTTGACCACCTTCTTCCTCTCGCTCTTCTTCATGACATTCTTCTTCTCTCTCATCCTCGCTACTTTCCACTCGGTTTTCATCATCATTTTCTTCTTCCTCTCTGTTTTCTTCATCTCCACCGTTTTCATCATCAGCCTTCTCGCCATCATCCAAACAGTCTTCAGTAGCTTCATTTTCACCAATAGCAGTCACAAAACTCGAAACATTTTCAACAACATTTGGGGGAGCAACACTATGCTCCATGTAGATGTAAACTTCTCCACATTCATTTGCTTCTGAAGCCATCTTCATTATCTTACTATCCTTATCCTGCCATATCAATCTTGCCAATGACATATCTTCATCAGGTAGTCTATACCAGACTTTCTCGACGTCACTCACAACTTCCTTACTTTTGGTGAAATCTTCAAAAATCGAGAAGGTGAGAAAATCGGGATCCACCAACATATCTGGAGCAATCGATCCACCTATAAAACATAGCTTCTCCCCTTCCTTTGACATTACACCTCCTTAGTGAATATGCATCTTCAGCTTTTCATCTTCGTAACTGTAGAACAAAAAAAAGTTATTACAGATATGAAACCGAGAAATCCATAGAAGAAGACCACAAAACCAAAATATCGCCTAGAATCATACATCATATTGCTTGATTTTGCTGTAATTCAGTCGATTTTTTTTTATTTAGGGTTCATCGATGAAATTAGGATTTTAAGTTTTGTTTCCAGATTTGGGGATTTTGTCGGGATAAAAAAAACAGGTCGGGTAATTAGATGGGTCGGGATTTACGGGTTATGTTTATCAGGTATTACGGGTATATTTATCGGGTTTGGATTGTTTAACTACAGTTCAGTCGTAGTTAAATCAATGACGGAAATCAAACGTCATTCATATTCTCGTTCACAGCCGTTTCGTATATGACAAAAACCAAGTATATGGTTCACATTTGATGCTTTAAATTGAGAAAGAAAAATAGTTGGCATAATAAACTGGGTATAAAAATAAATTAGGTATTAAAAAGTTTAGAGAAATTTAGTTGGTGTATTTTTATAGAATTTTCTCATTTGTGATATCACAGTAGTTTGCTGAACCTTTGACTTCTAAATTAAAGACTAAACTATATTTTTCATTATGGAGAATCATCGGTGGTTTTTTAGGTATATTTTACAGTAAAAAATCTTCAAATCTTAGTTTACTATCGTTTTATGATAAAAACATATTAAACTATAACCTTGCAACGAGGTTCGACCCAAAGCTCCCCAAATGGTTTAAACAAAGAGCCAGGTGAGATACAAAAAAAAAGGAATGATTTTTTCTCTATGAAAACAATAATTAGTTGCACAACTTAGTTCACTGGAAATGTGACAGATAGATACAGTATATTTCGATAAAGAGTGATTATGACAAAATAACCAACCTATCATAAATGAGAATTGATGGAAATTAAATGTTTGTCTTTTCCGTTGTGGAAATATTGCTAGTTTGATTCCTTTATAAAAGTCATCTAGAAATCGACTATGGATTTTATATTTAGCAGGATTAGTTAACAAAACTTCAGAGATTTAGTTCTCTAATCAAGCAAGATTTGATTATTTTTACATTTAATTGTTTATTTTCCTGAGTTTTATTAGTGTTTTTGTGTTATCCCATATATATTAAAAGAGAAGCATTTTTTAAAAATAACCTTAATTTTGTAAAATATTACAGTGGTGCCATTTTGCTGATGTGTCATCACCAGAATCATTTTCAGCAAAGTTATATAAATAGACTTATGTTACTAGATTAATTACATGTTATGCCACTCACATTAATTTGGTTATACATTAGTTTATATCAATTATATTGATGATGATTCATCAAGATATTCTTTTTTCCTATTTCTTACCAAAAATATATCATATTAATTATTTCTTTAAATACTATATTTTATCTTTTATTTTTATAGAAAAATAAATCATCACATCATTCATATAGTAAAATATATATATATATATATATATATATTTTTTCTGTGTTATAATTTGAATTTCATAAAAAATATAAATTACTTAAATGATTAATAAATAAAAGTATGTTTTAAAAGACTAAAATTGAAAATAAAGATGTATAGATAGATGATTCATAAATCAATATAAAAATACATAAATGATAAAAAAACATGAAGCTTAATTTAATAGATATTATTATTTTTAATTTATACAATAAAATAACTTGGTAAAAAATTAAAATATTTTTGTAAGGATATTATATAATAATTTTATTAAACTTTTTGATATTAAAAATATTTTTATTAAATCAAAAATTTAAGAATGGATAAGCATTGACTCAGTTATATACAATTTTAGATAATTTATTAAAAATAATAAAAAAAATAATTTATTTTTATATAATCCTTATGTATATTTAGTATTTAAAATAAATTTTACAGTAATCTTCTTTTTTTAAAAGTTAATATTTTTATGATTATAATTTTTGCGGGTTAATCTAAATATGCATTTACATTCGTATTAGAAATATTAAAGTCGATTATAAAATTTTAAAATCAAATTTTATTTTTACAATTTTAATACTCTCTATTTCAAAATATATGTTATTTGTATTAAAGCACAAAGATTAAAAAGTAACTTTTCTTTTAAAAAAGTAATCATTTAGTATATAAATTAAATATAATTCAACTAATTATGAAAAATTTAAAAATATAATCGGTCACATAGTATTCATTGGAAGTAGTAAAAAATATAAAAAATAACTATATTTTAAAACAAAAAAAACCTTAAAAAAATTAATATTATGAAACAGAGGAAGTAATAAATTTTTTATTAGATACTTAATAATTTAATCAAAATATACTCCCTCTATTTTTTTTTAATTTTAAGATCATGTTATTAATCACAGGTTATAGAAAGTATAAAGAGAGACTTCTTATTTCTATCCAGATTGTGAATATATATTTAATTTTTAAACTAATTTACATTAGAATTAAATTACCCTAAAATTCATAACATAAACAAAAAAATATTTTGTCAATATTACAGCATAATGTTATAAACAACTTATATAAAATCAATTGTATTTTTTTATATAATTTTAAAATTATACTATATTAAATAAATAATAATTGTTTCACTCCGCACATGGTGCGGGTTATTACCTAGTGTTATGGTATTCTTCTTGTACTAGTGTTGTTGCAGTAATGCTGTTATCTAGATTGAAATCTGTTATTATGCGTGTGAGTTATCGACATCAAAATAGAATTATAAAAAACTTCAACCTATCATCAACGATAGCTAAGGGAATATAAAAGATAGAGATTGTGACTTTATATTTTTTTAAGGATTTTGTCTTGCACACATTGTAGACATCAATTGTCAAACTTGAAACTTCAGTGGAAAGTTTATAGATTGCGGTCCTCTCAAGAAACTCTGAGATTACAAGTCATTTATGGGATTATTTTACTCATTTTGTCCAGTTCAAATGACTTTCTTTACTCTTTTATGGTTTATTTATCGAATTTTATATAACCAAAATGAGAAATATGACTGATTGGTTATGGAAATGGATTATATGCTTCTAGATTATTATTTTTTTTTAATAAAGGGTTTATGCTTCTAGAATGATTGTTTTGCCGATATTGAAGATTTAAAAAGTCGAGTCAAGTCCAATTCGGTGCGACGTATTTTTACCAAAATAACAAGGATGATTCTGGACAAGAACAAGGATCAGATCCTGAACTTGAAAATCTTGAAAAGATAGTTTTAAAATACAAATCCAACCTCCTCGAAAGTTCTCATCTCAGTGTTTTACTCCTGCCAATAAACAGATTTAAAGACATCAGAATCATCTTTTGTCTGGATTAATCAGTAATTAATAGTATACTGATCATAAATCATACATACCCTGAATCTCTTTCGGCGCAAATCATCCGTATTGTATCCAACAGCCTCGTTATTGTATCCTCCATCTCTGTGTTCCAACACTCTCCTCGAGTTCCGGAAGAACCCAACCTTGTCCCATGTTAGTTCATAGTCTGCCTTTAGCCGAGTTCCTTCCTGCTCATATGACAACAAAACAGAATACATCACTCATGTTGCAATGCCCACAAGTTCCCTAATCTTTCCCCATAAACAATCAAATAAAACTCCATCTACTTACTTTCAAACAGCAGAATCTAGTTTTACATTCAATCAAGTTCATGATTCGGAAGAAGCATCCAACAGAAAAGTTTTTGCGAATGAAGAAAACGTTTGTGCTATTTAAGAAGCTTATGCAACAGCAAAACAGAGAAACCTAACATCATACCATAGTAAAATGCTTCGTAGCAGGATAGAAATTTACCTTTTGCATTGAGCGACCACAGAAGGCCTTCATGGCATTCACGAAATCGTTGTACTTCTCGAACTGAACCACAATCTTACAATGGAGACCTGATACAAGGTCTCCACTGTCCTCATCTGCGTCCTTACCTAGATTATCGTCCTCAGCAACATTAAAATTCCTATATAGGATGAGTTAAAGCAGCACAACATGGAATTATTGAAATTAAAGATATTTTATCTTTGCATTAACATTAGACTATCATTGGCAAACAGAACGAATGAGATCATCTGATTAGAAGAATATAATACTCGAGCATACATGGTACAACAAGTTCAATACGACGACGATAATAAAGATAATTACCGCAGAGAGGTTAAAGTGAGACAATAATTAGTTGTTAGGAAAGATTTTCATCCACCGATTTCACTTAATCAAGAAACTTCATACAAAATGTCAGCTCTATGTGCAAATGGAGAAGCATTAAATCTACGGAATCAACACAAAACCAATGAAATTTGTAATAACCAAGCAACATAAAAATCTCAAGTCCATAGTGTTACCTTCTTGAAGCAAATTTATGAATGTTTTATTCTCTCAGATAGAAAGTTATCATTAGAGAAACACACGGTTTTGAATACCCTTAACCAAATTAGCCATGAATGATAACTGAGTTTTACCTTAAACCTTAAGTGAACCAGAACCTCAAAGCTAGTCCTCAGTTTCATATATCCAATTCCGGAATATGTTTCTTAATTATAGCTATTGCGACGATAAAACTTAAGTCATACATTGACCTCTACAAAAAAAATGTCAGTTCTATCATCCTATGTGCAAATGTAGTTACATGAAATCTACCCAAAGCACCACAAAACCAATGAAAACTGCAATAAGCTAGACATAGATCACTCTCCACTCTCAACTCTCATAGTGTCACATTCATTAAGCAAAATTAGATAGGGAAAAACACAATTTTTGATAAACATAGTCAAAGTGGACACATGAAAGGTAATATAATCTTACCTTATTTTTCCAAAGCTGGAGAAGATTGTATGCGTAACCAACATCGAAGGCTTCGATGAAACTATGGGTTCTGCAAACCATCTTGATGGCACACCTCGGAGTATAATTGTATCAGCTTCTCGTCTACCTTCCCTTGGATGTCCTGCAAAAGCAAAACACCCAACACA